ATATAACTTCAGCATTTAGATGTAAAAATCAGGGGCTTCAAAAGCTATTCATTATCAAAAGATTACATTCAAATACCCAGGTGCCCACAGATTTGTGTACCATGTTCTGTTTACATCTAAATGCTGAAGTTATATTACAATTAAACACGTAGTTCAACAATTTAAATTCAAATTTTAAAACTGACAGCCTAAAGCGTGACTCGCTACTAAAAGCACAGAATCATGGAATGGTTTGGGCTGGAAGGGACCTTAAAGATCACCTCACTTCAACTCCCCTGCCATGGGCACCAGCATCTCCCACTAGGCCATGCTGCTCAAAGCCCTGTCCATCCCAGCCTTAAAATCATACTAAGATTGCCCTCATAATAGAATTATTATACACAGAAAACACAGCATGCAAATAACTCTATTTGTATATACTTTCTGTGTGACTGAAATCATTAAATTCAAAGTAAAGCTGAAATAAAAACATCTCTAAAAGCACAAAGCAGTCACTAACCTGTATTTTGATTGGCCAGGAAAAATTGCTGACATAGACATAGAAAGTGATGTTTGGGTTGCTTCGAAAGTTAAATTTTTCACAGGAGAAGCTGTCTCTATATTCCTTAATATTAACCTTGGAAACAACAGGAATCTCTTCTCCAGATATTGTTCCAGCTAAAAAAAAATTAAAAGATCAGGTGTAAATATACATATTTGAGAAAAATATTAATCATCATTAAAGATGCCAAAGTAAATTTGCATAAGAAACATAAATCCTTAATTGCTTTCGGTGTCTTCCCTCTAAAACAACCCCTTATTATAGTTTACATGGCACATTAAGTATATTTAATATACATACAGAGAATTCACTTTGGTGCCAAAAAACCTGTATACAATTTGGAAACGTGACAGAAGTAACACGAATTTTACAAGATAGTTATTATGGTCAGCTTAACAGATAATATGCTTTTTCTCCATAATTTATGTTTCATTACAATAAACAGCTCAATAAAACCTGAAAGGGAATTTGTCTACATCTTACTCATTTTTGCTGTCAAATTTTAATTGTTCATGAAAGCGTTAGTAACGTAACTAGTAATAAACATTTATTAGTTTTTGCAAATAAGTGACTGAGCTAAGTTAAAATAAAGGAAAAAACAGAGTTTACTAGCTATGGTACAGTAAAGTACTTCAGAAATGCATTGCTGAAGAAATTAATGAGTTTAAGGCAAACTCTGAACCTTCTTTAAAAAGATTTTTTTTTAAATTATTTCATTTTAAGCATCATGCCTCTCCTTGGATGTGTTTTCAGAAAGTCAATAGAACCAATTCAAAAAAACTGTCTAAATTAAAACAAAGAAAAGTAATGGGGTTCAAAGTTGGAGGAAAAAATAGATAAGCAGCTCCTTTTATCAGCATACACAGAAGAACTTTATTGTTTGATATCAACGTAAAGGTTAATAATTAAATTTTTAGCTTGAACACTGAAACAAAGAAATAAAATCTCAGTCTCTGCAGTAGTTAAGGAAGCAATTTATCTTAATTAAAATCACAGCATTTCATAACACTGTCATTTTAAAAACTTAAATACGCTACAAGCTTTTCCTACCAAAGTAATTTTAATTGAATAGGAGAGAAAGTCAACATATTAATGAAGCTTTATTCAGATTGCAAATTATCATCTGAGGATTAAATAATATAATTAATAACAGCATAATGATAATGGCAAAAGAACACATTTGGCAAAGTTTTATTATCAAAATTAGCAACAAAGAGACAATCAGGTTAAAACAGCTGAAAGGATCATGAAATCGTTTAGGGAAAAACTCATCATACCAAAATTCACTCTCACCTGTAGAACCAATAGACCACGTAATATTGAGGTTAAAGTTGTTTGATGCATTAATTGATATATCCAAATTTTTATTAGACTAGGGGAAAAAAAAAGAAAAAAGAAAGTTAACAAAACATATCAGAATGTATTGCATGTAACTCCATTGCACAGAACCAAATACAGCCTTTTAATCATCTCCCAGTTTTCATTTTAAACATAAATGGTAATGGTTCACTGCCAAAGGCAATTCTCTCTTTTGCTTTGGTAAGAACAGGGTAAAATTTAACATATAACTACACCAGTTATGCTTGTAGATTGTCTTAAGTATAGCAAAATAATTGTCTTCATAAAATTAATGAAAAAAAATATATGCCAAATGCCTACATTCTGATCACAAGCCAAAAATTACTTTCCTCACCTAAAAATGTTTTCTCAGCAGAAGGGTACACCCCTTCAATTCATCTCAGCAAGATACTAAAACTTGTTATTCATGGGAACAACAATAAAATAAACAAACTGATAATTTTTCAGAGTATAGATTAAGTTGAAGGAATCTACCATTTAGAAAAGGTTCTCAATGAAGGCTCTGGACTAATTTTGCAGCTCTCAAAAAAACATGAACTATCTCTAAAAGCTTATAGACACGTTGCAAACCTTTAATCAATGCCAAACACAATGGAAATCTTAATTCTGAGTCTCTAAAACTTAACTAAAATTATTAACATTTTCTTACCTGTTCTGGATTGGCTATGAAGTTTATGGCAGTGTGATGACGATCATCCTCTTGTAATAAGCTGAAGGTAAACTGATAATCAATCAAAAGGCTGTCTGTAGACAAAACAAAAATTTAAAATAATAAAATAAAGTGTATACATATTAGTTCTATATTATTCAAGGACCTAAAGGTTTACCATTCTTATTGATTTTAAAAGTCAAGGAGAAATGCACAAGTCAGATTTCACTGTTGAAGTGTTTGCACTATAAAGTCTTAAAACGATTAAAAATTTAATTTACTTAATTGAAAAAATAAAATTAAGCAAAAATAACTAAATTAAGAAACAAATTATATCATGGAGTCAGAGCAGTGATTAGACATAACTTGAAATAGCCATTCTTTGTGAAAGAATTATTCCAAAATACAGTATTAAGTGTTGTTAGAGCATTACCAGTTTCCTAATTTCACTCTAAAATAATTATTCAATTACTAGGTTTAAAAAAATCTGGAAAATGTTGCATCTACACTAAAATTATACAGTATGAACGCTTATTTATTGTAGTAAATAAGATTGCTAATAACTACATGGCACAATGGAACTTTGAAGAGAAATTATGTGACCATCAAGTGTTTCCTTTCTAAACTGACAGAATTTTAAGACATTGTGTTAAGTGATATAAATTTTTTATACAAGGGAAACAAGAGGTTATTTAGTTTTGTACCAAACAGAAATTATATTTTACTCCCCATTGGCTTTTGTTCTAGACATTTTTCTTTCACCCTATGAATGGAGCAGAGCCTGCCAGGCAGCTCCCACACGCTGCTCTCGTCACTGCTCACTGACAATCTGCTGGGCTGGCAGAGGTGCAGACAGAGAAACAGCCACCTTCAGATGATACAACCCATGGCCAGCCCTTCCTGGAAGGAGCAGAAAATGATTGGGACAAGTCACAAGACATAAGTCTTGGGCTATCTGTTGTGTTCCCAGAGGAACGAGATTAACCCTTGCTTGGGTCACGGCTCGAGGAATGACTGAAAAGGAACTTTCCTGCAAAGCAGACTTTCACAAGCAGACTCATCAGGATGAAGCAGCACCTCCAAAATGTAAGAAAAATAAAAGGTCACCAGTAATTACTGTTGTTGCAATTTACAGAGGGAGCCATCAAGAATCCCAGCAGGAAATGTCCAGTGCAGAGAGATAAGAATCAGGAGATCCTCCAGAGATGTAAATTGTGATAGGAGATAAATCATCCCTGCACAACACAGTTGTGAACTAGAGGTGGGTGTGGTGGATGCATCTTGAATGCTCTGTTACATGGGCAGATATCTTCATATTCAATAGAACAAATCTTCTAAATCTTTTACCATTACCGTTCTACAGGGATCAAAAGCTTCTATTTTTTCCCCTCTCAAAGGAAATAAGGAGGTGACTTATAAAAGTACATGATTCTGATAATTATTTTATGCAAGTTAAAATATGGCAACATCTCTGGGCTACAACCTAGGGAATAATAGTAGAGCATTATTTTGATCCCTGGCCTGCTGACATTCTTCTAGTTACAAAACCACACAAACGGTGTTACAAATAAAAAATATGTGATCATAAAAATAAAATCGGGAAATACAAAGAGAGTCAAAGATTAAGTCAAAGCAGAAGAAAAGCTGTGTCAGCTTTTTGTTGGATTCAGTAGTTTGCTTACTGCTGACAATCACCTTTTCTGCAGCAACACATCTGAAAAAACACATACTGTTGTATCCAATGGGAAGGCTGACACAGAAAGAGAAAAAAATATATTGTCTTGATAGTTAAAGAAAATAGTTTTGGTTTGGTTTTGTTCGGGCCTTTTTTGGATTTTCTTTTTTATTTTTTTTTTTTATAGTGAGTGTGGAAGGAAAAGTAGACAATAAAGGTTCATAGAACCACAGAATATCCTGAGTGTGAAGGAAGCCACAAAGGAGTTACATGAAAGGAATTACCACAACATTCAAAGGTGAGAAGTTCACTTTCTCTATTAGTAGCTACCACAGTTCTGTTATTCAAATAAGAATAAGCTGATCTACGTGTCTTAGCTAACGAATTTTGACCAGGTTCCTGCATGGTTATGAAGGCAAAATATGACTAAATATGAAATTAAAATGCCCCATTTATTTATTAATACTACTCTACACTTCTATAGTTATGCAAATCCAATTAATAAATCTCATTGACTCTATCATGCCATATCTCCATGCTTAACAATAAGAAGGCCACGGTACCAGAACATATTTAAAGGTAACAGGACAGGAAAAGATGGCAAGTAAAGACTGACCCCGATTAAATGGATTAATAAAACCTTTAATAATCATGAGTTGACAGGCAAAAATGTTAGGAATAATGTATAGATAGGTCCTCTTCTGACCTGGTCAACTTGGAGCTCCTCAAAATACAGATGACTGCTTCAGTACGAATCTTTGCAAACAGATTTATTGTGAAGGTGTGATAGACCAGCACCACAGAAAGCATTCCTACAGAAGCTCTGGCTACAGCAAGGGCTACAACACACAAGAAGCAGCATTGACAAGCTGTCATTGACCAGATATCATTGATTTGCTCATAAGATATGGAGAATTACCACTTATGTATGTCACAGTCTTCTAAACCCAGACTGTGTCCTGTCAGAGATACAGAGCATCAGCCAGAGAAACAGCAGTCAAATATAGATAATATCCCATCATAAAATAACACTGGGAATGGACACAGGACTCTTGCCTCCCAGTCATGAATTAACAGCTCTTCTACATAAGAGTTTAAAAAAAATCAAAGTAATTTACTTTTAAAACAGTATGAGTTCTTTTTTTTTTTTTTCCCCCAGGGTTTGGTGGTAGTGGTGCTGTTGTTTAGTTGTTCGTTCTCGTTTTTTCAAATGTATAATTTACTTGTTAAAAAGCCAACAAAGTATGAACTGATTTTTCAAGGAATGCAGGAAAAGTCTACACTTATAAAAGAAATTAAACTACACAGTTCTTCATAAATTTACCATCTGTAACAAATCAGAAAATTAATTCCACTTTTTCTTATTGCATTCTTACATACAATACAGATGACAGTAAATTGTGAAAAACAGCAGGAGTTTGTTATGTGTAGAGCCTTTTCTACCAAAGATATCCCATTTTTTTGTTGTGCTATTAATTACTCTATTATTTAATTGTTGATTAATTCAATACTTCATTAACAGCAGCAAAGTTCAGTAGGAAATCCCACACATTATCTCCTCTATAGCACTCAAAGCCTGGAAAAACACAGCTTCAAGAGCAGCTCTGAGAGCCAACACAAGAACTCGCCTTGGGATTCTTCAGAGTTGCCAAAGGATCTGTAAATTACACAAGACAGTCCTACAAACTGAGAAGTGAGGATCTTCTCTAAACTGTTCAGAAGCAGCACTAACAAACACAAATTACGGTCTTTAATTCCACAGAGACCTGCCACGGGACAAATCATTAAATCTCTACCTTGGCCATGGCCTGGGTGCTGTAAAGCAGAAACACTTATCTCTTCCGAGACAATTCTAATTCAGGGAAGGTACCTAAGGTGTGCGTGACTTGAATGAAGCAGACAGCAGTGCCTAAGTGCAGTTATGTGATTCAAAAGCACAAATGAACTCAGGTGCAAGTCAAAGAGCTGAGCAAACATTCCTCCCCATCTTTCTGAGGACTGCAGAAGTTTGCTGAAGAAATTTCATAGGTTAGATAAAGGTTCGCAAAACTTCAAGGAGGATTTGTCTGGACCTATTCTTAAGGTGAAGATTCCAAATCTCTGAAAGTCTCTAAAGCTAGATTTTTATTAGAATATAAATTAGTAGAAGTAATTTAAGAAGAAATTCAGAGTAGAAATTAAAAGGGATTGTAAAGAAGACTCTACCCCCCATTGCACCCTGCTGCTGTCTCACTATCCTTCCCCACTCTCTGATTCTGTTTCATTCTGTAACTTAGGAGACTCTTCCCCCACATGTATTCAGCAGCTCCCAGGGAAAATATCACCTCCCTCTCATCCAGAAAGCTCCACCTTCTGCAGACTGAAGCAGGCAACAGCTTTCCTTCCTACTGCCAAACATCCTCCTAAACATAATATATGCCAGTGCATCATAAGTGCACATAAACTAAGCAGTTACACAGAATATCACACCATATTTCCCAGTTCATAGTGTCATTCAAACTAGAGAGTTTAGCCTCAAAAGCAGGCTGAAATTTAAACTGAAAGTCAGTTCTAAGACTATGACCTGTTCTGAACAGCTAAATGTATAAGTAGCCAAAATATACAATATTTTATTATTATTATATTATTATTATAATATATAAATAATAACTAAATGTAGAAACAGCTACTTAAAATATATATGCTGTTGATATATACTGTTGTGTATATTTACAATCAGGAATTTGGAGAGGCCTAAGATTCTACTCCATGTGGGTTTGTTTCTACTTCAAACCTCTATGAAGCCACCATAAGTAATTTTACTCTTTACATAACAAATGAGACTTACTTTTCCTGTTTCTGTTTATTAAGACAGAGACACAACAAATTTACTCAAGCAGGTGACTAAAGCAGCAACAGCCAGATAGAATTTAAAGAGCTAGATTCTACACTATAATCTATAAACTCCCTGAACTCTTATATATAAATTTCCATGGGAAAAGTTTGTGAGGACACAGAAACCTCTCCACAAACCCAGAGCCCACAGCTCAGATCTTAATTCCCCAACACACAACACAGTATTTGGAATCCAGAAGCTGGCTATTTTTGAGCCAGGAGTCAGCCCAGAATAGTTTAATATCTGGTTCCAGGAATTTTGTTTCACTTTATCTTAGAAAACTGATTAAACTAGACAAAAAAAAGTGCTGGGTGATAGGACCACAATACGATCCTGACATTGTCAATGGTCAAATATTACAACAACTTATGGTTATTGAGTTTTTTCACATCTCTATTTTGATTTTTTCAAAACCCTTGACTGCTTTTACAGTCAAAAGGAGTCATTAAAATCAATTCAAAATGCCAGTAATGAGCATGTGTGAGAACATAACAATAATTAGGCGAAGAAAGATGTTTAATGAAATGAGGAAAATAAATTTCAAA